TTATATAATGCACAGGTTGTGTTTTGAGTAGAGTTTCCCTTACAAAGGAGACTCTGCTCAAATTTTTAATAAAGGATGGACCCGGGTAAATGGGGCACAACGTTGAGATATCGAGTTACTCGGTATCCATGGGTATTTTGCGGGTTGATGGGTAATCAACGGACCCCCAGATTTTGGGGCGTCACACAATTAATTTAACATTGGTTTCATTGGAATGTAGACTTCAAGAGCTACAAAAGGTGTTTCATGATTCTAACTGGGTCAAAATTGGCTAGAAAAATTTGAATAGGTTGCAGAATCTTGCAGTCCGTTTGAATGGGAAAGGCTCTATTCGAACTCGAGTATAACCTGGAAAACCTAAACAAAAAAAATAGGAGATACTAGGATTAAGCTTTGTTTGAACCCAAGCACGATTTTCACAACAATCAGGCCCGCGCCGCGTGAACTATTTTTCACCCTATAAATAATTTACGGACTTGTTTTAGGGATGTTTCAACCCTAGAAATTCAATAGGAGTAGGGAGAGTAGAAATTGGCAAGATCTTGAAGAATTAATACATAAAAATCATAACAAAATGCATTAGGGTCAATTAACTACAAATTAAGATAGGATTTCTTTCTCAAATCTATTCATTGAGGATTAATTATATCAATATATATGATAGATCTACATTGATTTCACATTCTTTTCAATACATAATTCATTTCTTGGAAAATTACATGATTTATATCCAAAATCACATGTTCTTAATGAAAAAAACTAGATCTTGAGTATAGACAAATTGGATATATCTTTTTTACGATCTCTTGCATGTTTTGATTTGATTATTCTTCTATTCTGAGAATTACGGTATACATATATGAAAAAAAATTATTATTATCTCTTGTATGGGTGGGTGGGTGTGATGAACGTGAGTTTCACTCGACCGGATATCGTAGAATCTTTAGATTGAGTTTCTTACCATGAGGGTCAAATTGTGGATTGTTTATTCAAATTCATGAATTTTAGATAACTTAGAAGAATTGATGTACTTTTGAGATGGATATGCTAGCTATTTACCATGTCCTTATAGACTATTTTATAAAATGGATGGTATTTTATTTTTGGTTAGTATAGGACGCTAGGCATGAATATTAAGGTAAATGGTCTTGCCAATATTTGAGAAGATTATGAGATATGATTAGTGAAAAAAGAGCACCCAAACTCAAATTGGACAGTTGTAGTAGAACCATCACTCAAGCTTACTCTTTACTAATTGGATCAGAACTCTATTTAGAAAGTCGAAATTGGACACCATTTTTTTGTTAGAAACTAAACTCATGTATATTTCCAACCATAAATGGCACACATGTTAGAAGTTTCTGAGTTGAATCAATTTATTCTCTAAGGTTGGCCAAAATCTACACCTTGCTTTTTCTGGGCCAATAGAGTGTTGTGCCCTTTTTCTTAGACTTTTGAGGACTTATCCTCATTCAAACTTCTACCACATTTTAGGCTTTGATCTAGAGATACCCTGGTGTCAATTGAAGTGTCTTAATGGATCACAAGATAAAATGTTATTATGGTTTGGTGTCATGTCAATTCTACCTATTCTGTCCTACTATTATTGTTGCTTATATTTTTTAAAGTTAAAGAGGTGTGATAACTTAATGTGGTTGTTTGGAGGTAAGATCGCCTACGATGTTCTTCAATTATACTAGGCTTTAACAATAATGATTCTGGAAAGTTATATAAGTTACTCAAAAGTCAAGAAAATTGAGGAACGATTGCATATTTTGTTTTACAGTGAAAACCATGGGATTTTTATGTTTTCCTCTAGGGTGAGTATGATAGTATGAAAAAGTAAAATTCGAAAATATGATCAATTGGAGAATTATAATGAAATAACCACGAATGGGTGTCAGTTCTAGGAATAAGGGTAGAAATTATGGTTATGTTTTCTAGGCGGATTGGAGGACATTGTAATTAAGCAATCCTATTATGTTGTGGGCTTAGTTCATTACACGTTGACTCTCTAAAGTTAGGAGCAATGGGAATTTGTTAGTTCAGCTTAGGGTTGATAGTTGACTTGCACAGACAAATTTTAATTGAAAATTGAGGTCAAGGGTATAGGTACAAATTTAGAAACATACGATAAGGAAACCTAGGAAGCATGATTAATTATTGGCAATTATCCTTGACTCTCAATATTGTAGGACTAAAAATTATAGATGTTCAAAAGTTTGAGGTCAAATATAGTGGACAATTATTGGAATAAGGATGTAACCCATTGCTTAGTGTGATCTTCATCAGGTTGGGAAATCTGTTAATATTATTGGAGTTATGTTGTGGAGTATAGAGTTTTCATCTGTCTCTTAATACATTATTAAGATGGATCTGAATTGGTTAAAGTTGAAAATTGTTAAGTATAAAAGATTATAACTTTCGAAACAAAAAACATTTAAGGTTAATTAGGATGATTAGAAGGATGTAATATGCGGAATCTATGTCAAAACCAATATGCTAAGAAGAACAAGTGGGAGTTCTAAATGAAAAAATGTGACTTTTGACATAAGTGGAGAAACATTTAAGTGAATGTTGGGATAAAAGGCTAAGGTTATCCTAGTAGCTAATTGATCATTATCATTTCAGGGATTATGAATAATTTTTAAGGCTATGGTGGTTAAATTGAGAAACATTGGTTGAATCATTGGGAGTCTTGTTTTGGCTATGACTATATTACAAGAAATATGTGGCATTGACTTAGAGAGACTATTGTGATTATTGGCAGTCTATTGTTACTTTCTATTATAGTACAAGAAATATATTTGCATGAGTTTGAATCATTAGTTCTATATTATAAATAACGTGAGTAGAATGGAGAGGTTTGTGAAAGCCGTTAGGGATTGATTACATGGCTTGGTGATTCTAGCTCAATGATAGAAATTGAGAATGAATATATGGGTGATAGAGAAAAGAATTAGTGTTAATCGACTTGACAAATAATGTGGAGATATTAACATTGACCAAAAAGTAGGAGTTAAGATGTGAGTGGATTATGAGTGGGGGTTGTATGGCTTATTGATTTGAGCTCAAAATTGGGGATTGAAAACAAATATCTTGAAACCAATGGGCCTTTGGACCAATGGTACTCCTTACCTTGTGAAGGTTTTGCCTTCTTGAGGTCAAGGGTTCAAGCCCTCTTTCCCCCCCCTCCCCCTCCACCTCCACCTCCCAAAACAAAATATATATATATATATATCTTGAAGATATAACTATACCTTGGCTCAAGTGTTGTATTGTGTAATTGCTAAAATCTCACTTTGGAGAGAAAAGATGGATCGTTAGAATAGACGATTTGGAAGATATAATTGGAGGACATGTATAGTTATGTTCTATTTGTATATTTGGGGAAAATCTAACTTATCATTATCAAATCTTTCAAACTTTAGGGTAATTCTTATCTATGGTTGGTCTCAACACTATTGAATTGGAGAGCTGATTTTTCTAACTATAATTGGTGTCAAAGTGCGCAACAAAAGTGTTGTTTGGAATTAATATTATTGGGACTAACCATTAGTTATGGTTAATGGGGAATGTAAAGAGTATAAACTTCAGAAGTGAGAATCAATTTCTTGGATAACTAGGTGTATAGTTGGATGATTATAACTTTTGGGAACCTTGTAGTGTCCACCAAACCTTCAATACTTATAGTTGTCAATAAGATTGAATAGTATAAGAGTTTCATGATACTAAACAATCGTAATGGAGAGATACAATGTGAGGAAAGATGAACTAGAGTATAGTGAGAAATTGCACACCACATGGGTGTGCAATCTAATAGTTAATCCTAGAATATTGAGTTACATTGGAGTGCATAGTAGGGAACCAAAGTTATTACAAGATTTCAAAGATTGTGAATATCTCTAGGCTAGTAAGAGACAAAGTCATCAAAAAGGAGGTTTTCCCCAAACCCAATCTCCCATAAATCTTAATTCCAAAGTCCAATCAGTTTTAAACTTATTTTCCACACCCAATTTTTTTTTTTTTCAAAACGTCATTTAAAATGATGATTTCAAGTTGAAATTTTTTTCCTAAAAACGTCATTCTTAATGACGTTTTTAAAGTCGTCATTTATAATAACGTTTTTAAACATTAATTTTTAAACGGCCGCTAACAGACGTTAAAAAAAATAAAAGGGATCAAAACATCATTTACAATGACGTTTTCTGCCATAATGATATTTTCTACCCCTTTATTAACAATGATGTTTTCTACCCCTTTATTTACAATAAAGTGTTAAAAATGTCTTCTTAGCCTTTTACAATGATTTTTTCTTAGCCAAAAGTCTCCAACCTACTTATAATAAATTTCATAAAAGCTAATTACTCCACCTAATTTCTCACATCATGATTCACCAGACAACAACAAAAATAATTAAATAAATTTTAGAATTTAATTATGTTTTCATAATAATTTTGAACTTATTTTATAATCGAAAATAAAATTCATAAAAGCATAATTTAAAGAGAGAATGATCCAAGTTCTCCAACTGAATTCCCCAACCAATTTTGGTACATATTAAACCCAACTATTAAAATTTCAATAGCATTTTAGCTTTAAACAAGCCATCATGAATTTGATTCATTTCACCTACTAGTTAAGTAGTTATTCTTCAATAGCAATTCTTTTTCACAACATCACAAACAGAGGAGACTTGAAGCTTTATATATGATGATCATATACCTCAAAAAAAAAAAAAAGAAGCAAAAATACCACTCATTTCTTCTACATTTTGAAGCTGCAATAAATAGAATTCTTTTTTTTTTATTGAACCTCAACGGTACAAGGGAGTTTTATTGATTTCAAATAAAATTACAAATAACTAAGGGGGGACGTATGTACGTTACCCCTCGATGCAATCTAGTTACATGGAATAATGAAATATATAAAAGAAAGCAAAATATGCTTGCTTAATACAATAAATAATAAAATAAATGTATCCTAAGCATGCTGCCTTCTTAACTAAAAAATTCCAACTGATGTAGGAACATTCTAGCTGAATTGAAACCATTGAAGCGTTCCTGCTGAACATGAAGCCTAATTACCAAAAGAGATGTCATGGAATTAAATGCAGCTTCCATAATACAACTGCCTAAGAGTCTAATTGAAGAAGAAAGTCTAAAAGAGCCCAGTCGAACAAGAAGTCCAGCGGCAAGGATGACCTGAATAGTGAAAGAAAAGTCCATCGATCCACAAACTAGTCCAGTTGCAGTTCTAGATGAACAGTAACATGAACAGTGAGAAAGAGATGAACCAGTCCAGCTCATAAAGCCTTCTGCACCTTTCCTTCCAAAGCTGCCAATATATAATCAATGGCAAACCTCTCATTAAGGTGTGAAAGAGAAATCAACGCTTGAAAATTCTAACAATCCTCATAAATCTTGTAAATGGAGGTTCGTTAGTTATAAGCTGAAAACCCAATAGAGCCAAAAACTTCTTCCAAATAAAAGCAGCAAATTTACAAGAGATAAAGATATGGTCCTCTGAATCCACTTCTGAACAGCATAGGGCACATCTACTTGCTAGATTAATTCGTATTGCTTGATATGTAGAGTCCATATGTGTATATAACGTTTGTGAATTAACCAAATACTTTTTTTGTCCTTTTCATTTTCTAGCTTATGAATACTTATCTATGATCAATAATTGATATTAGAAGATTGTAATTAGAATTTAGCCCTTAATTAATAGCCAATTAATTGTTTTACAAAGTGGGGAGGTTCAAATTTTCACCTTCTGCCTCTAATCTCAAAACAATCAATTTAGAAATTATATTTTTACCCTCTGATCTTAAAAAAAAGTAGTGATATGTAGTCCTTAATATCATTCTCCTAAGGCTTGACAGATAGAATTAAGATTGGACATGGAGTCCATTTGGCCAATAAAACAAGTACACAACACTATTGATTGAACCCATTTTAAGGAAGACATCACTATTTTGTTCACTTTTACTTGATTACTAAAACTTATCTACAATCTCATACAAATTTGTGTTTGCCCTTATATTCATGGTGTTAATTGTATTTCAGATGCTAATTGTAACACCCCGCATTTTCTTTTATATATATATAGTAAATAATTGTGGTAAAAATGTGGATATGTGTAGTAATGTGTGTTTGAATTTGGTAGATTGAAAAAGTAGAGATTCAAAATGTTAGTGAAAATAATAGATAAAATTTTGTTTTAATAAGTGAAAATATGAAATTTTAGGTCCTAGAACTTGTATTAAATAGGTTTGGTGTAGAAATATGTGTTGGAGAGGTCTGAGATGGATTTGGTTGACCTAGGAATGGATTGAAAATGGAAAAGGGATGAAATAGGACGTGAACAGTGCACGTAAACAGTGCACTGGCTGCAACTTCAAGCACAATTTTGACCTTGATGCAGTCAATATTTCTCACAACTCAAAACATAAAAGTTGTAGATCTCTTTCTTAGCATTCCATAGTATCTTAAATCATCTCAATCGGAGCTCGGATGAGAGAGTTATGTCCAGATAACGAAGTGATGTCAAAACAGCCCAATTAGCTTGAATAGTGCACTAGCTGCAACGTCAAGCCTGATTTAGACCTTGATGTAGTCAATATCTCTCACAACCCAAAACATAAAAGTTTTAGATCTCTTTCTTATCATTCCATATCACCTTTAACCATCTCAATCGGAGCTCGGATGAGAGAGTTACGCCCAAATAACGAAGCGATGTCAAAACAGTCCAATTACCTTCGTTTTGCATCTAACGTCTCCATTTGCATCCTAAATCTAAATATAAGAATAATGAGTAAATTTATGCTTCAAATAAGTATAAAATGCTTTAAGAAGCATTCTTTATCACCTTTTATTTGCAAACAATACAAAACTTCATTAATAGCCGGTTCAGATGGGTAAAATAGAAATTTTAGTGTTTCGGGTGTACGTTGACTTTGGTTTTGAGATAAATCATAAAAATCAATGGGTTTTATGGTTAAAATAACATTAAAAATGAATCCGGAATGTCGAAAAACCTTAGGGTAGTCATATGGATCAAATTGGAGATTCTTAGTGGTAAAACTGTAATTTTAGAGAAAACTAAAACAGGCTGTGAATAGTGAATTTCGGGGCTAAGGTGTTTTAAACCCCATTTTCATCCCATTTGCCTTCATTTATTTCACTCCACTCTCACCCCACACCTCTTGGAACCCTAGAGAGCATTAGAGAGGAAGAAAGGAAAGGAAAAACAAGAGATTTAAGGGTAGATTCAAGATCAAAACTCAAGTTCTTCCTACAAACTAAGGATTTAAGGTAGGTGTTTTCTCTCATTCACTTACATTGAGGCTAAGGTATTTATATATGTATGTTTTGGTTATCAATGATATATATATATGCTATGGAATCATCCTCTCATAGACTTTTTACAAGAATTACATGTTTTGAACAACGTAGGGTTTAATACCCATAAAATCTCTTTTCTAGTTTTAAAATTCTAATTTTTGGAGAGTGATGTATTTTCTTCCTAAATGTTTTTTTATTATGGATTTTGAAATCTTAGTGCTTTGTGTTGGGTAGAAAAATGATTTTATTGTGATCTCATGTATTTTCTTAGTTGGTTGTGGAATTGTTCCATGATATATTTTGGAGATTTTGGATAGATGCTTGTAAATTGAGATAAATATTGGAATTGTATGCTTGGTTGAGTTGTTTGTGATGGACATGAGTGAGAGGTTCCTTGTAAGGATGCTCACCCCTTCCCAAGAGGTTCTTGGTAAGGATGCTTGAAAAACAATGTAATGATTGGGGAGAGGTTCCATGTAAGGATGTTCATCCATTGTCAAGAGGTTCCCGGTAAGGATGCTTGAGAATCAAAGGTGACCTAAAGGGGGGTGGAGGTTACCACAAAGTATGCCACCTACCGAAAGAATTGTTGAAAATTGGTTATGGCAATGAATGGTTATTATTTATATGTGGTGCTCGTTTATTCATTTAAGTAATGTTTTTAAATAAACTTGAGATCCTTTTTAAATGTCACTGCTTTATTTCAAATTATGTATCTATGTTATGTTAAAATTGAGACCGACGATTTTACATACTTTTCTAAACCTTGTATGGGTTTGGGAGAATTTTTCTATAGAGATTCGTGCTCACCCCCTATCGCTAACATTTTTTAGATTACCTGCTTGAGGAGGAGGATGTAAGGGTCGAGGAGCCCGCTACTTAGGAGACTCCACTGGACGAGAGTGTGAATCCCGAGGTGGACGCATAGAACGACCTCCTTTCCTTTTGTACTAGACTATGACATTCTTTTGGAATATTGTGTAGTCTAGCTTCTTTTGTTTATTCTACTGCGCTTCTTTAATTAATTTTTGAGATGTAATAGTCATGACTTGGGCTTATTCTTTTGGATAATATTGTAAATATTCGTGGATGAAAAATAAAGTCTTGTTTCTTAGGGATTATATTAGTGCTCTCATGATATGAATGGTTTTAGAATGTAATGTCGTCCAGGATGTGTTTTGCGGTGTTACACTAATTGATAATATCAGGGATGTAATTATAATCACTGACGATGGTGCTACGATTCTAAAGATGTTAGAAGTTCACCATCCAGCTACTTAGGGGCAAGACTACAAACTCTTTTTTTTTGGACCATCATTTCAAAAGATGTATTCGACATTTTTAAGTACTGAGTGGATATATAGATATGATATTCGACATGTTTATGAAGTTGCATTCATGAGTTAAATTCACTTGAGCTTATAACCTACTCCAGCAGAAGACTCTCTATAAGCACATAACAGATGATGCAAGTAATTGTACCAATCTAGAAAGCAAAATGGAATGTACACATGCACGATACCACACATCCGGTATAATGAAGAAGACAAATTGAAAGGCTATATGTCAGAAATATCCAAATTACCTAATGTCAAAACCCTCAAGCTCTTTTTCGATTAGACATTTATGAGTTATTGGCTTATTGCATCCAGAACAATTATAATACAGTTACATGTCCTGGAAGAACTAATAACCTGCATTACATCAACAATAAATAAGCTAGAAAATCCAAATGCATGAATCACTAATATCCAAATGCATGTTATTTATTATACCCTATCTTTCAATACCAAAGAAAATCGAACAAACAACCACATAACATAAACTTCATTACAAGAAGTCGGTATGCATCCAAAAGATCCAACAATGACTGAGGGATAATGTTCGATGGTCACAGGAATTCTTCCAGACCCCCTCCCCCCCCCCCCCCCAAAAAAAAAAAAAAAAATTTCCTCACCTAGTGAGATTACTACTGATAGTATCCTAAAATTAGAGGCAAGCAAAATCCTTATGTGAATTGATGTCTAAAATCTCCTCCCAAATTCAAAACATTACAAAAGAACTTGTCTAATCCAACCAAAATTCCAAAAATATTGTGCCAAACTATCTAGAGTGGTCAATGATACATTTTTATTTTTGCTTATTGCAAATAATTTCATGCAGAAACCCAGGACTAACAGCTTAATGCACAAGGCTCCCACCACGTCAGGGTGTAGGAGGGTCAACTGTACACAGTCTTACCATAAAGAGGCTGGTTCCATGACTCAATCCCATGATACAAGATAAAATTCATCCAACAAATCACTATATATAACGATTACATAGCTTATTCTTCGACAACTATTGCAAAACACAACAAAAATCCCAGACTAAAGGTCAATTAGTTCAAAGCCAACTAGCCAATGACAATACATTAAAATATTTTAAAATACTTTGTTATGAAATGTATACAGATTGAATATATGTATGATTACAAAGAGATACACACAAGATTTCGTTCATACCAGATTTCATTCATGAAATGTATACAAATTTCGTTCATACAAAGACTACACACAGCCCATAAATTTCTGAAGAAAGAGAGACAGAGACCACACTACCTTCGGTGGGTCGCCGGAGTAGCTAAAGGAGCAATCATCGGAGGACAAGTCACTTTCTACAGAGAGAGACTCCACAGCTTTGTGAACTCCTTCTCCCACCTAAGATCGTTCGTCGGCAGAGTGTCTTCGTCGGCTGTAACAGCCTAAACCTTACTGATCTTCATCGGAGGTGTGGAGTGGAGAGGATGGGTATTATGCGCAATGGGTTTACTTCAAATAGATTAGAGATTTTGTGAATTGGGAAATTTGGGATCTGACTATAAGCAGCATAAAATGTCATTTATGATGACGTTTTGTACCCCTCATTTTTTTTTTTTAACTTCTGTTAGCTGCCGTTTGAAAATTAATGGGTTAAAACATCATTAAAAATGACGTTTTTTCAAAAAAAAAATCCAATTTCAAAACGTCATTTAAAATGATGTTTTAACTCCTAAAGGCGTCATTCCAAATGACATTTTTAAAAAAGACTGGGTTTTAAAAATAAGTTTAAAATAGACTGGTTTAGGGAATTAATATTATGGGGAGACTGGGTTTGGGGAAAAGCTCCATCAAAAAGGTTCTATCTTTTTTAGAAATTTAGATAAATCTTATTATAATTTCATTACTAAGTTTTAATTTATACCATAATCTCAGTATAGGAAAGATGAGTTGTAAAACCCAGGTAAATTAGAAATTTTGTGAAAAAAGGCAAAACGGTAATTTATCACTTTAGTGCGGATTGAAAACCAGTACTTTTCTAGAGCTCAGATGATGAAACAGATCTCACCGCTGGATTTGTCTCGCGAAATATAGTTACCTAGTCAATTTTTGTCGAATTCCAAGACAGTCAAAATTTCACATTTTACAAGGTAATCTAGTGTCGGTTGACCTAAAAATAAAATACAGAGTAAAATTTCGTAAGTTAGAAAATAATTTAAAGGAAATTAATATATAAATATTTTGAACTTGAACAAGGATGAAATTTAATCATTTGAAGATAAAATCGAACTCGAAAAAAGGGGATGTGTGGTGCAACGTGGACCAAGTATCCTAGGAGTATAAATAAGGGAGAAAATTAGAATTTCTACCCATTCTCAACTGGGTTTAATGTTGGAAGAGGAAGAAAGGGAAAAGAGATGAAAAAAATCAAAATTTTTAATTTCTCTCTATGATCTACGGAGTTTCGTTGGTCGAATCAACTCGGCCCAAGAGTCAAAATTCATCTACGCGATGAGGGCTAAATGACCATACCAAAAATGACAAATTTCACCGAAGATTCAAAAATAAAATTTTGGGAAAATCAAAGCTTGATCTTTGTTGGTGTTCTTGTAGGTTCTACAATCCCGTTTTACGCTTCAAGAGGTAGGATTTTTCATCCTAATTAGATTTATTTCCAACCTAGGGTGATTATATGAAATGGATAGGTGGTTAGATGTATTTAACACTTCCCTACTGCTGTAAATTGATGAAATGGGTATTAGAAATAGGTAGAATACATTCTATCTTGAATTGGGTATGTAGAAATAAATTAACGTAATTTTTGCAACTATGTGATGAAATTGGGAATTTTTTTTGATTACATGATTTGGTGCCTTGAAGGTGTTTGATTTAATGCCTATGTGAAATTAAATGTGTTTTGCATAGATTATGTATAACATGCTTGAAAAATTGTTGTTGAATGTAGATGTTGACATATGCTAGATGATATATTGACATTATGAGGATTTATAAAAATTATATGCTTACGGTATAATTAACCATGGTGTATGTGAAATGTGGTTGAGATTGTTCATATGCCACTCATAACATATTGAACATGAAATTTGTATCGCAATTGTACATTACATTACATATGCACGGAGACATTGCATTCATAGACATTAGGCATGAATGGAGGTGTGTGTGTGCATGGTTGTCATCAAACAGCACTCTTGGTGAATGACGTGTGGGCTTGGTACAGTTGGACCAAGGTCTGACAGAGTCGCACGGTTGCATGAAAACTTGTGTCAGGTATGGCAAGAATGGCTAGATACTCTCTCGGTTGTAAAACCCGGTTACTGGTTTATACACTTCCACTGGTGAAAATCCAAAAAAAGTGTATCAGTGTGCAAAACTGGCATTGAGATACCAAAATTTCGCTACCCAACAAAGACACATGGTTTATTTTTTAAAAGGCCATTGGATGTACAACACCAATGGCAAAGGCTTGAAATGCCCGATTTTATACTCATGGTATTACATGGGTGATGAGAGCCAATAAAGACTCAGGTTAAGTTGCATGTGTGGATCTCATCTCATACAATGACATGGCATAGAGAATCCATTATGAATTGCATATTCTTGAGTGGATTGTTTGTTGCTAGGTGAAATTGGCATGTGAACATTTCGTATGTATCTAGGTTGAGGAGTAGTCTCTTTAGGAGATACCCTATTGAGCGTGACTCATCCTTTATGTGAAAAATATTTCAGGTTTGGAGAGCCTCAAGGATGAAGAAAAGCCAAAATGTGGCTTTATTTTATGCTTTTGTAAAATCATTGTGAAAACTTAGTTTTTGGCATGTAATTATGTGGAAATAGTTGTAATGAAACTCATATGAACTGTTTTGAATGTAAATTCATGATGTGTGATTTTGGTATGATGTTGTACATGTTTGGGGTGGATTGAAAATCGAAAATGGATGAAAAAGGGAAAAATTGGACACACCTATTGTTGACGTTCGAACGCCATTAAACGTTCGAATGTAGGAAGCTTATAGTACTTGAGGCTCTGTAGAGAATCAAAGTACTGGGAGCAACCTTAGTTTGAATGCCATTCCATGTTCAAACTCCACTTTCATGTTCGAACGTCATTCAACGTGTGAATGTGAGGAGCTTACAGTACTTTTGCATCTCTGCAGAGAACCAAAGTACTAGGAGCAACCTTTGTTCGAATGCCATTCCACATTTGAACGGGTAGGTTTTGTTAAAATCTCAATTTTTTTTTGAAATGTTTTGCTATGTCCTTGGGTCTTGGGTTCTCTTATTCAAATGATACAAATAAGGATAAATTAATGTATATTGGGCCTCGAATGGGTTATGTGATTGAAGTGTATACAGATCGTTCATTTGGGGAGTGCCTGGTACAAGGGAGACTCTGCCCAAACTTTGAGTTTTGTGATCCCAGTGAAAGGGGATTTTGTGACGTGCTGTCAAGTTATGCAGTATTCATGGATATTTCTGCAGGTCGATGAGTGATCAACGGATTGACAAGAACCCCCAATTTTAGGGGCGTCACAGCTTGGTATCAGAGCTTAGGTTTACGATTTACCTAATGCTTACGAGGCAAGAGTTTAGATCATTGCATCCATTGTGCATTACATGTTATGTATAAAATATGCATGATTGAATGTATATGGACAAGAGACACTAGGGTTAGAGAACGTAACCTTGGAGGGTCGAAAAAAGAATGAACGGGATGATTTAGGGTGTAGATGTCTACTAGTGGTGGCACATGCTCTATTAGTCAGACAAAGAGAGAAATCTCAAAATTTGAACTTGATCCCTATGTTGAGATACTAAGTTAGTACTCTGTTGTTATTTGACAAGAAGACGCGGCCGAGGTGGTGGGTGGAACAACAACCAACCACCACCGGCCTTCAACCAACAAGCCTTTATAGAGGCTATTGGCATGATGGCGGCTACCTTTGCACAGGCTAGCGCCAAGGAAGCTCAAGTAATCTCCAAAATTTCAAGGCACACAAGTCTCAAACTTGTATGGGAGGGACGGATCCAATAGTGGCTGACCATTAGTTCCAACAAGTCAACAAGATCTTAGAGGCGATGAAGATCACCTCCGATTCCACTAAGATAAGGCTAGTTGTATTCTAGACATAAGGAGAAGCCCATCTGTGGTGGAATTGGGCAAAGACCTCAAAGAACTTAGAGGCGATGACATGGGGAAAGTTCTAGGAGCTCTTTATGGGCAAGTACTTCCCATCGGTTGTTCGATACGCGAAAGCCCAGGAATTCTTGAATTTGAAGTAGGGGACTATGATGGTGATGGAATATGTGGCTACGTTCACTGAATTAGCCTGTTTCGCCGATGATTACATGGCCACAAACATCGTCAAATTAAGGAGGTTCGACGATAATTTGAAATTGTCCATCTAGGGGAAAATTATGGGTCATCACCTACAAGATTTGGATTCACTGGTCGAGACGGCAATAGTCATTGATAGAGAGGTAGATGACGCAAGGAGCATCTGGGAGACAAGTGCTAAGGACAAGAAGAAGGAGGGTCAATCCTCTTCTTTTAGTTTGGGGAAGAAGCAACGAACTTCTACTTCGCAAGGACATCAGGAACAGGGCCGCGGCTATCAAGGCAAAGGCCAAGGTCAATCCTCCTAAGGCGGGGGAAACTTCAGGACTTCTTACCAATCAGGTCAGAGGACTTGCTACATATGTCACCAGCCAAGTCACATGAAGCAGGATTTTTCTCAAAGGCAGGGATCCTAAAGCTATGGGGCATCCTAGTCCAAGTTATTGGTGGGGCATACATAGACTCATTTCATTCCTCCCTACCCCACCATGGGCCAGGAAAGTCAGTATCAGTTTTAGTGTACTACACAAGCCCCTACTGCTTCACGTGCGAGGACTTCGCAATCAGGCCAGGGCATGGACCGAGGCCAAGGACATGGCTCACAAGCTGAGACTTCGGAGACCCAGGGGCGTGTCTATGCCATCACACCTCAGACTATGCCAGCAGATTAGTCGATTATTCAGGATACATTTTTACTCTCTTGCTTATAGGTAAGGGTATTATTTGACTCTGGTGCATTGCATTTATTTATTTCGGCATCATGTGTGAGAGGTTTGGGCTTAGATATGGAAACCTTGGAAAAGTCATTGCATCTGAGTTCTCCTCTAGGAATCAAGGTAAGTGTTGATCAGATATGTTGAGGTTGTGAGTTAGAGATCTATTCTACTCACCGTGGACCTTAAGGTCATGGACATGTTGGAGTTTGATGTCATCCTTGGGATGTTTTGGTTGGTGGCACACCAAGTCATCACTGATTGTGAT